AAAATTTGAATTTAAATGTTGATTATTTATTTATTTATTTATTTTTATTTTTATTTTTTCGGTGGAAGGAGGGCGGTATATCCGAAATTTATTAATATGTCCTCACTTGTGACGGAGGAATACGAAATATATGAATTGAAATTTAAATGTTGATGTGATGGATAACTGTCATATTTTTCATTTTAATGAGATAATAATATAGATCAAACGTGGGTATAGTTATATTTTCGGATTAATAGCAGAAAATCCCTTTAAAAACTTTTTCATGTGCAATATATTTTATACTTATTGGGAATCGAAGAAAACCCCATATTGGAAATCCTTTGTGCGAAATACCCTATACCGTCAAAATCCATCAGATTTTCTGTTAAAAAAATAAAAAATGTCAAAATAAAAAAGAAATAATTACAGTTGTAGTATCCAAACTTTTATTTTTTTTGTAAATTATACCTAATTTTTTATGTGCCATACATTGTCCCAAATCCTGACAATTTATTCCTATTTTTATTTTACATAAAAACCAATTAAATTAAAATAATTACATCAAAAGATCAAAAAGATAAAGATAAAAAACAAAAAATAAAATTTATTCTTCTTCCCACCCCCAACCCAAAACCCAGAAAAACCCAACATTCTTAAGCAATTGCGTTGTGCTTGTGTTTTTATTTGATTGTGTTTTTCTGATTTGATTGTGATTCTATAAAAAAATACTGATAGCCACGTGCTCTGTTTTTCCAGTGGTCTGGGCCCGTGGATATAGTGGTGGCGAGTCCAGCGACTTTCCTGGATTGGATTGGTTTTGCCATGGATAAGTTTCTAGGGGGTTTTCTGCTACTAATTCTTATGTTTTATATTCTTAGTTTATATTTTGCGCAGTGTATAATAAATTTAGAATAAAATTATAATGAAAATATAATCAGAGAGTATGAAGTTGGATTCAGTATATTTTAAAATAAATATTTTGATTTTATTCGCACTATCTTTTAAATGATTAATTAAACGTTACTATCCACCNNNGATTAATTAAACGTTACTATCCACCCAGTACACCAAATTAATATTTATTAAGTGCTATGTATTGAAATTTTGTACCAAATTTCTTGAGTTTCTACGAAATATGTTTAGGCTAGCAAGAAGTCATAAACGAATTTCCCAAGTCTAATGCATTACAAAACTATGTTCTTGTTAATGGCTTTCTTTAACTTCTTCAATATTCATTTGATTTTGATAAAAAATATTTTTTTAGTAGATTTTGATAAAAGTTTGTAAAATATGTAATTGAAAGGTTAATAAAAATTGTAAGTCTTATAAAATGTGCGATTGAAAATAAGTAAAAATAAATAATTTTTTGAAAAATGAGGACCAAATAGGACTTTAGTGCCTGACCATAACACGACGCAAGGGCGGACACATGGGGTGGCATAGGGTCACCCGACTACCCAACTTTGGGGCACAATTTATTTTTTCTTACATCATTAAATTTTTATAGTTTAGTCTCAAATTTCGAAGTTGTTATGGGATATCAGACAAAGTTAAAATATTGCATTCTTAATACCATTTAGAAGTGCTCACGGCCTAATTTTTTAGGTCATTATTGGCGTGCGAAAACGTCAACCGTAGCAAACGTTATGACTCGTCGAAGTAGGCTATTCCAAATTTTTATTTCGTGAATTTTGTTAACATGCTAACTTTAAAAACTCTCCCAACGATTGTACGCTAGCCGAATTCACAAATCGTCTATGACATCTTGAAGCTCGTTTCGAAAGCTACATCAAAGGCATATCTAATTGTCCAAACAGATATCGAAAATAGTTAAAAAAAAGTTAGTCGTACGTCTTTAAAAAAGACGTTTAACTCGACTTCTCTTTTAAAAATTTGAATTTTTCATTGATAAGTGTATTTTCGACACTTATTCGGGGCTTAAAACTATAGACTTTTATTGATTTTTTGACAAAATTTTACATAATTTATGTTATATTGCATTGTGTAGGTAAAACTTTATGTTTGATGAAGGATTGGAGAAAAGAAGCAAAATAT